ATGGCCTCAAGCACCCTTTTCCTCTCCCTTACATATGCAAACTATCCACCCCAGGGCGATGTAGCTCTCACACCCATAATCAAACTCTGAAAGCCTGCCCCATGGCCCCATGAGGCTTTGGGGGGGACACACAGACACAAACCATAACAGGTACCATAGTGAAGCATTTATTTTGTATTTAACTATATATTTCTAAATAATGGACTGATTTTATTTCTTGGAGGACAAAAAGTTTCACAGTATTGGAGGTGGAACCCAGGGCCTCTGCATGATAGGCAAGCCCTCCACACTGAGCTGTGTCTCCTGTCAAGTAGTTTGCCAGTGCTGGCCTCCAGTCTGTGATCGTCATGTCTCAGCTTCTTGAGTGGTTGGGATTACAGGCATGCGCCACCATGCTGGACACTTTCCAGATTGTTAACATTGTCTGTAATTATGGTGAATGAAAATTTTATGTCCTCTATATATCATTTGGCTAAGTGTAGAGCGCTGGCTGGTATGTAATTCCTTCAGATTGTGAAAACTTCTTCCCAGGGGCTGGGGATTTAGCTCAGCGGCAAAGCGCCTGCCTGGCAAGCGCAAGGTCGTGAGTTCGGTTCCCGGTACCGGAGAAAAAAACCAAAAAAAAAAAAAAAAAAAAACCAGCCAAAACTTCTTCCCAGTTTTCTATGTTGCCTATGAGACAATTGAGTCTCTTCCCTACCCCATGCCCGTGGCTTTTGTGGTATTTTTCCCTTCCTTTCCCACCTTAAGTTTCTTTTCTTCTTCTTTTTTTTTTTTGTCTTTTGGAGACAGGGTCTTGCTGTGCAGTTCAGGCTGGCCTTGAGCTCATTTTGTAGCCCAGGCTGGTCTCGAACTCACAGCCATCCTCCTGCCTCAGCTTCCCAAGTGCTGGGATTACAGGCATGGCCACTACGCCCAGCCAAGTTTCAAGCCTACAGAAAACCTGCAAGAATAATACAATGAAAGCCATGTATTCTTGGATTTATCAGATGTGACTATTTTACTAGGTTTGTTTCCTTTTTTTGATTGCACACATTTTTAACAACACAGATTATAGTACACCAAATCTAACTTCAATACAGTCAATACATTACAATTTATTTAGAATTTAAAGAGCTAATGACAAAAATCAGGGGAGGAAAGAGTATATAAGTTTATTTCATATACTTCAAGAACTAGTAAGTAGAATTTAGTAGGCTCATTTGTCCTGAAGGAGGCGCTGATCTGGAGGGGTGATGGCTCTGCTCAGGTAATCAGCTCTTCGGGATTTCTGAGGTTGCAGGGCCATCTATCTGCCTGTGCAAGTGGACATGCTGCGCCCACCCCTTCCCTCAGGAGCCGGGCTTCCTACGATCCGTAAAAACAGTGGATGGAACAGCTGAAATTTGTGCCTTTCTTTCTGGCTTCTGGGTAGTTACCTTCTCCTGGACTGGTCAGCCCCATCAAGGCTGCTTCAGTCCAAGCTTAGGTCCGAACTTGCTGAACCTCTGTTTCCAGGGAGAATTTGCCCACTGGGAGAGAGGAATGGCGGCAGCAGTGGGTGCGGCTTCCCCAGCTCCATCTAAATTTCCTCCTGGGTAGCTGGTGATTCAACCACCTGTCTTCCTCCCTGAGTCACCAGAGCTCGCGCTGCACTCTGACCCCTGCAGCAGCCTGAGCTCGAGTCTTGCTTTCTGACGTTCAGAGAGACACACTTTTTTCTCTTGGATGCTGGGGACTAAGAGACCACACGCCTTCTAAGCACACACTCTGCCACTGAATGACACCTCCAACCTGCTGAACTATTTCAGAGTAAATGATAAACACTCTGATAATTTGCCTTTGTGTCTCCCACAATTATTTCCTGAGAATATCCTCAGGAAATTTAACATTGATAAAGTACCAGTATCTAATATAGTCTATATTTATATTACCTCAGTTGTCTAAATAAGGTCCTTAACAGATATTTTGTGTTTTGCTTTTTAACCTAGGTTTGAATCAAGGAGTACATATTGCATTTAATAATCATGTTTCATTCTTTCTACTTTTTTTTTTTTTCTTTTCCATACTGAGGATTGAGCCGGGTATGGTGGCACACACCTGTAATTCCAGCACTCGGGAGGTTGAGGCAGGTGGATCGCTGTGAGTTCTTGACCAGCTTAGGCTACATAGTGAGTTCAAGGTCAGCCTGAACTGCAGAGTGAGACCTTGTTTCAAAAAAAGAAGTCCAAAACAGGATTGAACCCATGGCTTTCCCATTAAGCTATATCCCCAGTACCTTTTTTATTTTGTATCTTGAGATAGAGTCTTACTAAACTGCTAAATTGCCCAGGTTGGAGTGGAATTTGTGATTTTCTTGCCTCAGCCTCAAAAGTGCTGGGATTATAAGTATAATGCTGGATTATAGGGCCGCCACACCAGGCTAATAATGTTTCTTATTTCTTTTGAATAAGGATTTTGTTTTTTGAAGCAGGGTCTCGCTGTGTTGTTCAGGCTGACCTCCAACTCACTGTGTAGCCCAAGCTGGTCTCGTGATGTTCCTGCCTCAGCCTCCTGAGTGCTGGGATTACAGGTGTGCCCTACCATACCTGGCAACTTCTTGATTAATTTATCTCTATTTTCTGTACTCTGTTTGGAACTTTTGGCCAATAGATACTGTGTTACATGGGTTGATTCACTAAGACTTTTAGTTTTCCTTTTGGCCTGTTTGTTCTCTTTATTTGTTTGTTTATTTTTTGAGACAGTCTCACTATGTAGTTCAGGATAGCCATGAACTCACTATGTAGCCCAGGCTGGCCTCAAACTCATTTTTCTCCTGTCTCAGCCTCCTGAGTGCTGGATTTACAGATGTGTGCCACCATACCTGGCAGCTTGCTTGTTCTTGTGAGATAGGGTGGTTTTTTGTTTGTTTGTTTGTTTGTTTTTGTCTTTTTGACAATATTTATCTATGCTACTTTTTTTTTTTTGACACAGGGTCTCACTGTGCAGTTCAGGCTGACCTTCAGCTCACTTTGTAGCCCAGGCTGGTCTTGAACAGTCCTCCTGCCTCAGCCTCCCAAGTGCTGGCATTACAAGCGTGCGCCACCAAACCCGGCTGGCCTGCTTGTTCTTTATCTGCTGGTTTTAAATTTATTTCTTTCATTTTTAGTCATTTTTAGTTTCTAAGAATTCTTTTTTTCCTGATTTCTCATTTTTCATGATTTTTGTTCTTGTTTTCTGATTTTGAGGTATTAGTTATGGTTTCCTTCATTGATTTATCTAGTATTGTTTTGTTTGGTTTGTCTGTAAGACAGGATCTTACTATGTAGGCCAGGGTGACCTTGAGCTCAGGCTCAGCCTCCCGAGTGCTGGCATCACAAGCTTGTGCCACCATGCTGGGCTGATTTCTCTAGTGTGAATCTATTGTTCCTTCTTGTTAACCTTTGGTTTAAATGTCTGTTTTACACTGACTTCTATTCTTCCTATGTTGGTACTTTGACTACACTGTGCTTAAGGAACTTGGCCAGCACTCTGTGGTCAGGACTTTGCTTCACCCTGCCCACCTGTCACCATGGCTTCCAGCTGTGGCACCTCCCTCCCATCCGTGGTCCTCTGTCCCGGCCCTGATGTCGTAGTAGCCCATTCACCCTGCTAAGGCACTTTTGGTCCCCACCGCTTTTTTTTTTTTTGTCTTTTTGAGACAGTGGCTCAATATGCAGTTCAGGTTGGTCTTGAGCGCACTTTGTAGCCCAGGCTGGCCTTGAACTTGCAGCGATCCTCCTGCCTCAGCCTCCCGAGTGCTGGTATTGCAGGTGTGCACCACCATGCCCGGCTGACCGCTTTTGCTTTTATTTCTTTTTTTTTAATGGTACCACGAATTGAACTCAGGGCCTCATGCTTGCCAGGCAGGCACTGTGCTGCTGAGCTGTACCCCCAACCCTGTTTGCTTTTCTAAATGATCTTTTATTTAAATATCTTACTTGTTATGGATATCACTTTTATTTTCTCTTTGTTTTTTTCATAGTTAATTTATAGGATCTTCCGATAAAGAAGAGAAAATTTTATGATAATCTTTTTTAACTGGAAGTCTCAGTGTTTATATTTTTAAATTAGTGCTGTGGTGGCACATGCTTGTAATCCCAGCACTTGAGAGGCTGGAGGCTGATGCAGGAGGATCATTGCAAGTTCCAGATCAGCCTGGGCTACAAAGTGAGCTCAAGGCCAGCCTCAACTGCATAGGGAGACCCTGTCTCAAAAAGACAAAAAAACAAAACAAAACAAAACAAAACTTAAGTATATTACATTACTTATAATTCATTGATTATATCATATCATTATGCATTATATGATATCATCTAATAGATATTAATAGTATATTGCACTGTACTTGTATTCTGTAGAGCTAATTTAGCAAAACATAATATGTAGCAATTCAGGCCGGACATGGTGGTATATGCCTGTGATGCTAGCACTCTGGAGGAGGCTGAGGCAGGAGGATCACTGGGTTCAAGGTCATCTTGGGTTCCATAGTAAGCTCAAGGTCAGCCTGAACTATGTAGCAAGACCCTGTCTCAAAAAAAAAAAAAAAAAAGAAGTAATGTGTAACAATTAAAAAAGGGACAGTGTAAATAAATTTTAATCAGATAAACTACTTCAAGGGAATTGAATGATATTATTTTTACTATTTTTATTATTTTAATGCCTGGCATGGTGGCACACTCCTGTAATCCCACCACTTGGGAGGCTGAGGCAGGAAGATTATTGTGAGCTCTGAGGCCAGCCTGGGCTACATAGTGAGTGCAAGAACAGCCTACACTACATAGCAAGACCCTGTCTCACAAAAACAAAGAAAAAAATTGGAAGAATAATAACAGGAATGATCATATTATGCGTTGGCACATCAGTTATTGTGTGTTAGCGTCAGTTGTGGGCTAGCCTTTCCTTTTTATGACGCTGGTGTTTTTGAAGGGTGTGGGCAGTTGGTTTGGAGGCTGACCCTTGTCGTCATGTTTAATTTGTGGTGCAATTCTTTTTCCTTGTAGCTCTTAGGAGAGTACGAGTCCCTGGGGAAAGAACACGGACGAGTAAAGGTAAGGGACCGTGGCTCCTGCTCTGCATTTCGTGTGGGGACAAAAGCACTGGACCGAGGAGACCAGGCCCTCCTCCCCCACCCCCCGTAAACTGGACCACGTGTTCGTGGTGTCGTTGGTTCCCTTCTCAAGTCTCCGCACTATTTAACTCACAAGTTAGATTAGCTGATTCATTTAATAAGGTTCTTGAATGGTTAGTGAATTTAAGATGGATGGAGATTAAATTGTTTAAAAGAACATAAGGAACCACACAGATGCAATTAACTATGTAGTATGGCTTAAATATAAGTTCTTAGTTTCAAAGCCTTAGGCTTTTTGGGGGGCTGTATGAGCTTATTATGTTAGATTTCTCAATAAATAGTCTATTTGGGGACTAAGATTTGGATTGATGAAACCCTGTAATAACGCTGCGGGCGCGTGGGGCCCCTACACGTCTTTTAGCTGGCACACAGGCTTTGTGGCCGGCTGTGTAGAGCTGGTGGAAAGGGTTACTCAGCCAGACAACCAAAGGCTCTGGGATTCAGGAGTGAATCACATTGTCATCAGAGGTATTCTTCTTTCCTTCTGCCGAGCTGTTAATCAGATTTGTGGTCAAAATCTGAGTCTTAACAGTGGATTGTTCCTAACTAAGCAAAGCATAATGGGCTTTAGTATCTCACAGGGGACTTCAGTGAGTGACTTGTCCAGGCCTGTGTTTTGCCCTCTTGTTTTTTTCTTGTTATCTGTCCTGGCTCTGGTCAATCCCATGCTTGCTGAGTATCTGTTTAATTCGTAGCCAGCTGGTTTGGCCTTGGATTAGTATTGTTTTTTGTTTTTTTTTTTGAGATAGGGTCTCACTTTGTAGTTCAGGATGGCCTTGAATACTTGGTGATCCTTCTGCCTCAGCCTCCCAAGGTGTGCGCTGCCACACCCGGCTGTGTTGTGCATTTTGTTTTTGTTTCTTTTTATTTTTTTTTTTTTCATTTTGAATTAAGAGGATAGATAGGGATATGTATCTTGAGTTATCTGAATTTTCTCTTTATTTTCATAGGATGCACTAAATGCAACTGAAAACAAATTGCTTGATGCACATACTCAGATTTCTGACTTGAAAAGGTAAAGTTGTCTCACTAATAAGGAAATACCTCATTTTTTAAAAAGTGTTTGTATTAAGGGTGATAAAAAGAAAGTTTTTCTTTAGAATTTTAAAGCAGTGTAAGATCTAATTTTATCCTGATCTTCCACTGGCATGGACATGCATACATTGAATTTTAGCCAAAGGAGGTTTTTTTTAAGTTGTATGGTGCTGGAAGTAGATCCCAGGGGGCTTGTTCACTCTAGGCAAGCAGTCAACTGCTCCTCTCCTCCCGCTTACATCTCCAGCCCTGAAATTTTAAATGAGTAGACTGCATTGGTGGTTTTTGTTTTTGTTTTGTTTTTTGTCCTTTTGAGACAGGGTCTCCCTATGCAGTTGAGGCTGGCCTTGAGCTCACTTTGTAGCCCAGGCTGGCCTAGAACTTGCAATGATCCTCCGGCCTCAGCGTCCCAAGTGCTGGGATTACAGGCATGTGCCATCCTGCATTGGTGGTTGTGCCTTGGAGGTGTATATTTCCCCAAGCATTGTGTGTTTGCTCAGCATAGATAAAATCTGAATGATGTGTGATCACTGTAAAGAATTTTAAGAAGCTAAGGTGGGCATGGTGGTGCAGGCCTGTAATCCCGGCACTCAGGAGGCTGAGGCAGGAGGATTGTTGCGAGTTTGAGACCAGCCTCGGCTACAAAGTGAGCTCAAGGCCAGCCTGAACTGCATATCGAGACCCTGTCTCAAAAACAAAACAAAACGAAAAATATAAATAAATAAATAACTTTAGTTGCACTATATTTAAAATTTCTTGAAATATACGTAATTTATCACATTGCTTTTGAATTAGAACAATTTCGAAGCTTGAAGCTCAAGTGAAGCAAGTGGAGCGTGAAAGTGTGTTAAGTGTGCGTCAGAGCCCTAAGACCCCCGTGAGACCCTCGCATGCCAGGTAGGCCGTTTCATTTCATATCTGTAACACCAGAAGGTAGGTGCATGCTTATATTATTTTTTTATAATTATTTTTCTTTTTTGAGATGTGTAGTCCAGGTTGGTCTTTTGGTCTTTTTTTTGCACTGAGAGTCAAACTCATGGCCTTGCACTTACCAGGCAGGCACTGTGCCACTGAGCTGTATCCCTGGCCTATCCAGGTTGGTGTTGAACTCACTGCGTGACCTGCACTGGCCTTGAACTCATAGCAGTTCTCCTGCCTCACCCTCCTGAATGCCTTGGATTACAGGCGTGTACCACCACACCCGGCTCCTTATAGAATTTAGATGTATATAAAAAAAATTACTTAAAAAAAAAAAAATTACTATGCCTGGAGAGGTAGTACATGCCCATAATCCCAGCTACTCAGGAGGCTGAGGCAGGAGGATTACAAATTTGAGGCCAGCCTAGGCAATTTAGTGAAACCCTGAGCCAGAATAAAAAATAAAGGAATGAGGGTGCAGCTCAGTGGTAGAGCACTTTCTTGCATGCATTATGCCCTGGGTTCAGTCCTTCTACTGACAAATAAAATTGCCAGTGAAGCTACAGAGGCATTTGTATAAATGAAGAGAGCAGAATCAGACTGAGAACAAGGAAATTTGGAGCATATTTTGTTCTTGACTCTGCCTAGCTGTGGGACCTTAGATGAGTTGATTTACTTTTCTTTAGGAGCTCAGATTTGTTGTCCCTAAAAAGAAGGAAGATGGGCTAGAATATCTCAAAAGGTCTTTTAGTCCTAAAATTCAAACATTTTATTCCTGCACTGAGGAGAAGACCGGTGAAGATGGACCTGTGTTAGGGTGTATGTATTTTTCTTCTTATTTTAGCTTTGTTATAATCTGAGTTTGTTGTTGTTTTGTTTCTTTGTGTTGTGCCCATGTGTGTGTGCCCATGTGTGGATGTGGGGTACTAGGGTGACTCCACGGCCTCGTGCGTGATAAGCAAGTGCTCTGCGCTGCACTGCACCCCAGCCCTCAGAGCATTACTTTGATCCATCCACAGAGTGTTTTTCATTTTAGACTTACTTATGACACATCGCTTTGGTATAAAGGGTATTAGTAAGTAGATCATAATTTCTTTTTTTTTTTTTGTCTTTCTGAGACAGGGTCTCGCTATGCAGTTCAGGCTGACCTTGCATTCACTTTGTAGCCCAGGCTGGCCTTGAACTCACAACGATCCTGCTGCCTCAGCCTCCTGAGTGCTGGGATTACAGGAGTGCGCCACCACGCCCGGCTGCATAACTTCATAATATTGACATTTATTACAAAAGAATTAATTACTTTCTTGTTTTTTGGTTTTTTGCTTCTTTTGAAGCAGGGTCTTGCTGTGTAGTTTAGGCTATCCTTGATGCCAAGGTAATGCTCCTGCCTCAGCCTTCTGACTCCTGAGTGCTGGGATTACCGGTGTATGTCATTATGCCTGGCTAGAAAGAAATTATTTTAAATTATCATTTCTAAACTAAATTGTAATTATCAAGTGAGATATTTTTTCTAGATCTTTGTTAACTAATCTTAGTAGAGTATAGTGAATTCTTTTATTTAACAAAAAATTTGATGAATAACTGACATCGAATATTTGAGAGCCAGGTGTGGTGGCACAGGTCCATCATCCCAGCACTTGGGAGGCTAAGGATGGCTGCAAGTTCAAGGCCAGTCTGAACTACACAGTGAGACCTTGTCTCAAAAAAAAAAAAAAACAACAAAAGGAATATTTGAGAAAGTTTAAAAGAGGGTGAGAGCGCCGAAGGTGAGGGTCGGGGGAGGCTCTGGATGGCAGTGACGGGTAAGCAGAGAGCTTGGTGCGGAGCGCGGTTGCAGCGGAGGCTGTGTGGGGCTGAGGGACAAGGGTGCCCGCAGAGCGAGCCGGCGTACTTGAAGGTCCTAAGGGAGGCGCGTGGCCTGGACATTCCCACAAGAGGTAGAGTGGGCCCGTGAGATTGTGGTTTGACCACACATGGCTTTCCAGGCCGTGGTCAGGAGCTTGGGCCTTTTGAATCCATTTGGAATCTTTGCAGGTTGTCGTTCAGTAAAACGGTGTTCCTGGGGGTTTGCGTTTTCAGTGTTTCTGCCGGGAGGGAAGGAGGAAGAGAAGCGAAGCGTGGGAGCAGGGAGACTGGCCAGCGCTGGCAGCGCTGGGAGGAGCGCTAGTCCGGTAACCGCGGGGCAGAGGGCGAGGGCCTGGAGTGGTTCTGGAGGTGGAGTCCCGGAGTGGGAGCGGGCGTGGCTGGCCCGTGAGCAGGAGGGCTGCATCGCTCTTGCTTCTGTCCTGGATGTCTAAAGGTGCCATATGCATCAACCAGGGAAGACATGAGTTTTCTGTTGTGAATATTTTAAAGATTCTTATGGATTCTTTTTTTTTTTTTTTTTGAGACAGGGTCTCGGTACGCAGTTCAGGTTGGCTTTGAGCTCACTTTGTAGACCAGGCTGATCTTGAACTTGCAACGATCTTCCCACCTCAGCCTCCCGAGTGCTGGGATGACAGGCGTGTGCCGCCATGCCTGGCCTCTTATGGATTCTAAATGGAAATCAAATGGGCAATTAGAAACTTCAGTTTGGGGCTCAAAAATAACATCTCAGGCTAGGGTTACACATTTTGGAGTCACCTTACTACTATGGGATAGGATAGGAATTGAGGGTGTTTAGTGAGAAGCAGGCTCACCCACCTCCTCGTCTCCCCTTTGTGGTACTTAGGTTAAACCCACAGACTTCACACTGAGCTATGTTGCCAGTCTTTTTAAAAAGGAGAGCCCTGTTTTGAAGTTGAGTGGAGGAGTTGGTAAAGGGGCCTGAGAAAAATCTGTTAGAAAACTAGGAGGGTGTGAGTTGGAGGGGACTGAAAGCAGCTCCGTGGGGCCTGCAGGCCGACGGCTCGGAGAACAGCGTGGTGCTGGAGGAGCTGGGCCTCCTGGCCGTGAGGTGTGCGTGCGGTGGCAGCAGTGTGACGGCACAGGAAGTAGAGCGGGGCTGGCAATCCCGCCTGCACGGCCTGTCGCAAGCTGTGTGAGTAAAGAATGGTTTCTACAATTTGAAGTGCTTGGAACATAACACTTTATAACAAGGGAGCTGTAACACATCAAATGGCAGAGTTAATGCGTAAAGTGTACCCCAGGCGGTCTTACTCAGGCGTGTGTGGTCCGTAGCTGCTTTTGCAGGGCAACAGTCAACTTGGATACCCTGAGACAGACACTTTCAGACCCACAAAACTTAAAGTGTGTTCTGTCTGGTCCTTTAGAGAGAAAATTTGCCAGTTCCCCACCTAGCCTGTCAACATGGATTCACCTCAAGAACAAGCTGTGAGCCAGCGGTAGCGGTGCTTAACCTGTAATCCTGGCACTCCGGGAGGCTGAGGCAGGAGGACCATATGTTTGAGTCCAGCCTGTGCAGCTCAGTGACTAAGGGAGACCATGTCTCAAGGCAAAAAAAAGGGTGGTAAGGGACCCAAACCCCAAAGGAACAACAACGGAAACCTAGTCACAGAAGAAAGGGGCCGAGGGGAGAGGAGGCTGTCAGTCAGTCGTGATGTGGGAGGGTGTGCAGCCAGCTAGGTTCAGGGGTCCACTGCAGACAGCGGCCACGGAGCTGCACAGCTGGCTTCCGCTGTGGGTGGAGACAGGAAGTGAGATCACTGTGGCCTGGCAGGCTCAGGTAAGCGGAAGGAGTCGAGTGTGGTCTTGGAGCAGAGACAGGAAGCAGCGAAGCTGCAGAGCTGGTGACCAGGAAGGGACTGGCTGGCAGGCTGGCTCCTGTGGTGGTGCCGGAGCTGCAAGCAGAAGGGGGGCCTTGGAGTGTTGGCGTCTACACGGCTTGATCTCTGGTGATGACAGGCCCAACGGTGTCCTCAGGTGGACAGCTGAGGAGTCAAAGAGGCTCAGGCTTTGGGCAGAAGTCAAGCGCGGCTCCTAAATGGCATTAGATGTGGGGAAGACCAGATAGCAGTGCTCTAAATCTATTGAAGGGCCCAGAGCTGATGGGGACTGGGACCCTCAGGCCAGCAGGGCTTTCCTGAAAACATGGAGGACACAGCAGTCTAGAACTGTGCTGCTGACAGCACACAGCCGAAAGGTGGCTCTAGAGGGTCCCTGGCCACTGTTGGGGGCTTCAGTAGCAGCCCATGACTGTGGCTGCGGTGCTGGACAGTGCAGAGCGAGAGTATTTCTAGTTTTACAGAAAATTCCATTGAAGGGTGCTGATCTGAAGGAACAAGAACGCAACCCTGGGGGCTGGGGATTTAGCTCAGCGGCAAAAGCGCCTGCTTGGCAAGCGCAAGGTCGTGAGTTCGGTTCCCGGTACCGGAGAAAACCCCCCCCCCAAAAAAAAAGAACGCAACCCTGCTTCCTCTCTGTCCCCTGAGCACCTCCATTAAGGGAGGAAAAGGGAACATAGGGCACTAGGAGGCAGCCGATGGCTGGGGAGAGCTGTGAGTACCAGGCCTTTTTTTTTTTAAGGCAAGGTCTTCCTATGTAGTTTAGGCTTCCCTTGCCTTTTTTTTTTTGTCTTTTTTTTTTGAGACAGGGTCTCTCTATGCAGTTCAGGCTGGCCTTGAGCTCACTTTGTAGCCCAGGCTGGTCTCGAACTTGCAACAATCCTCCTGCCTCAGCCTCCTGAGTGCTGGAATTACAGGCATGCACACCACACCTGGCAAGTACTGGATCTTGATAGCAATTTGGGAATATTCAGAAGCAACAGAAACCAAAAATAATGGCTCAGGGGCTGGGGATTTAGCTCAGTGGCAAAAGCGCCTGCCTGGCAAGCGCAAGGCCGTGAGTTCGGTTCCCGGTACCGGAGAAAAACCAAAAAAAAAAAAAAAAAAAAAAAAAAAAAACAAAAATAATGGCTCAGTTCAGTCTTAAAAGTGTAAAATAGAATTCACCTAACATAGATTACTGCCTCTGATTTTTGATTCACCATGCAAATATGTACATACTACCTGTGAGCAGGTCTATACTGAAGCGCAAGACCAGAATGTTTCTCATTCCAACAGCACGCTGGCAACCTCAGACGTCAGCAGGCGGAAGTGGCTGATCCCAGGCGCAGAGTATTCTATCTTCACCGGCCAGCCACTGGCTGCCCAGGACAAAAAGGTGGAGGACCCTTGGGAGGGGACCAGTGGTCCTGGGTAAGATGGCCACCGAGGGTCCTGGCTTGGAGTGTTCTGCTTTCTTAGTGGTTCAGGTGCCTTGAATGTCCCGAAAGACAGAGAAAGCCATCTCTTTTTTGTTTCATTTTATGTTTTACAGTGCTGGAGATAAACCCACGGTCTTGAGCGTGCTAGGCTGGTTCTCTACCACAGAGCCTCATCCCCATCCCAGAGCTGTCTTTGGTTCTTTAATGTCTTTATTTTGAGGACTTTTTTTTTTAATGGGGCTTGGGATTGAATGTGGGGCCTTTGCATTGAGGAACATTCTCACCTTCAACCCCCTTTTTAAAAATACATTTTCTTAAACAAAACAAAACAAAACAAAACAGTAAAAATATATTTTCTTTTGAGATGAAGTCTTGCTAAGTTCTCCAGGCTGGGTTTGAATTGTTGATTCTCCTATTTCAGCCTCCCAGAGTGCTGGGATTACAGGCACACATTGCTGTGTCCAGCCTGGGATGTTCTATTTTACTTTAAGACGCGAATGGGTTTTGGATCTTCTACTTGGGTGGGTTCTCCGAGCATTCTTGCCTGTCCTCAGAAGCACAGTGTGGCTCACAGTTAAGGCAACATAATGATCCTCTCCCGAGGGTACCCTGAGGCCCTGTGATAAGCTCAGCCCTGTGCTCCAGGGTTCCATACAAATAGAATATTTCTGGCTGGGTGTGGTGGTGCATGCCTGTAATCCTAGCATTTAAGAGGCTGAGGCAGGAGGATAACCATGAATTGAAGGCCAGCCTGAACTACATAGTGAGACCCTGTCTCAAAAAAAAAAAAAAAAAAAACCGAACAAAAACAACAAACCAACAAATATAATATGGTAGGATATTAAAAGGACTGGGAAGCACTGATTTCCTGTCTGCAGGTTCAGTTTTAATTATTTGCATGTAAAGCATACATACTCACTGTGGAATATTGTCAACTCTCCTGATAGTTCCCTCACAATCCTTGTAAACTGTGTCTTCGTTGGGCGCTTGGTGTAACATCACCAAGGACTGGGTGGCTTGAACAGCACTTTATTTGGAGGCCGCAAGGCAGGATCACTGTGCCAGCACCGTCAGAGTCTTACAGAGGAGCCGCTCCCCAAGTGTGTCCTAACGCGGCCTGTCCCTGGCGTGTGGCAGAGAGAGCACGCTGATGGTTCTTGTCCTGCTTTTCTTCTTTTGATGTACTGGGAGTGAAGCTCAGGAGCACTTTATCACTGAGCTACATCCCAGCCCCACTTTTTTAAAAACTTTGAAACAGGGTCTTGCTAAGCGGCCCAAGTAGTCGTGAATTTGTACTTTTCCTGCCTTTTCTTTTTAAATAAGGACGGGGGCTTCACTCTGATAGCCCTGCTCCATCCTGCTCACTCCCCAGTGCCCCGCCTCTGAGTCCCATCACCTAAGGGTAGGGCTTTCATTTGTACATGTGGCGGGCAGAACTCATTCAGTGAGCTGCACTTACAATTATAATTGTTGTTTAAGGTGCCATTCTCCTCTGGAAAAGGATTTTTCCCCTGGAAGTTCACCAAAAAGCTTATCGATTAAAAAACAAAGAGAGACCTCAGATATACCAGTCACGAAAGCTTTAAAAGAACTTGATGAAGAAAAAATATTTAAAAATTGGGGGACACAGACAGAGAAAGAGGATGCCTCAAGAAGTAAGTATTTACTTTATTCCTTCTTTTGTATAGACAGAGGAATCTTCTCTCCTCCCCCATTTATATTACCTCTTAAAAATTCAATTTCTCAGGTAATGCGGTGCAGTTTAATTTGTGATACTGCTGCTCTAGCCCATTTCATAGATAATTGAATCCCCTGCTGAATAATTTATTACAGTCCTGGCATAACATGTACCTTTTATACAAAGCAAATTGCATATTACATTGATTATTAAAAAGCCTTCCATAGCATTCTTAAGGATATTTGAAAAATGTTTACCTCAGCTCGTCCTTCTTATGACAAATTCCTGGTGTTCCTAAAGTGGGGTGTTAACAGGTCCCGTGCCTCTCCCCTCGGCCCTTGAGCATCTGCAGAGAGGACAGGGCGCGTCTCAGGGCCGTCTCCCAGGCCCCGTCAGCTCCTTGTCTCTCTTCACTGCCTCCCCTGCTTCTCGTTCCACTTCGAGTCCTTCCCTCGCATCTCTGGGGTTGCAGCTACACAGTGGAGTCTCCTAGTAAATAAATTAGTAACCTGCTTCCTAAAATACACTCCTGACAAATCACCTTCAATGCTTTGAATGTAAACAGGAAGCCAGTGTGAATTCATTATAAACTCCCACATTTTCCTTCATCGAGCATTTTTATCTTCATAATGTGCATTTGCAAATAATGACTACACCCTCAATGACGAGAAGAAATGCTTTGAGCCAGGTGTGGTGGTGCATGCTTGTAACCCCAGCACTCTGGCTGAAGCAAGAGGAGTTCACATCCAGTTTTAATATTTTAGCAAGACCTCATCAAAACAAAAAATTTATAGAAGTTTGGCCACGAGGCTCAGTATGAAGGTCCTAGGCTTAATCCCCAGTGCCACCAAAAAAAAAAAAAAAAAAAAAACAACTTTATTAGCGCTGCCAGCTCACTGGCAGCGGCCAGGGCAGTGGAATAATCACCTACCTGGCAAGCTCAAGGTCCTGAGTTCAATTCCCAAAAAAAAAAAAAAAAAAAAAGCCTTCAGCAGAACCTTGTGTGGTGTGACATCTCTAATAAAGTCAGGTAACTGGGCTGGGGATATAGCTCAGCGGCACAGTGCCTGCCTGGCAAACACAAGGTCCTGAGTTCAACTGCTGATACCAAATAAATAAAGGCAGGTAACTGAAGCCAGGTTCGTTTTTATTTTTGTTTTGTTTTGTCTTGCATTTGCCCATTACAGAATTAGTGAATCCTCGGCAAACTGAATCTTCAGTCAATACAAGTTGTTCCCCAGAGAAATGGGCCCCGCAGAGACAAAAGAGACAGAATTCTGCCTCCCAGAGATCATCATCTTTGCCGCCTTCAAATCGCAAAGCCAGCGTTCCATGTAAGAGTTGCATGCTTGTCTGCAGAGCTGGGGAGCAGTGGGTGCTCCCCGCACACGCTCTCCCGTTTCTCCCCAGCCCCTGGTCTTGCAGCCTTGAGCACATGCCCCTAAACACACCCGTTCTCCTTGCTCCCTCAGAAAGACTGATTGCACAGCTGCTACAAACATAAAAAGTCTCAAAAGCCAGACATTTTTGTGTGTCTAGTAAATTGCTTGCAGGTAAAACCACTTCAGAGTTTTTGAGAGTAGACAGCTACCAATTACACATTAATTCAGACCGTTCATGCCAGTCAGAAAAGAGAAGATGCTTCTACACATTTCACCCCAGTTAGCATCAGCCGCCTTTTCTCTTCAGTCAAGTCCAGGTTTGTTTTAAAGCACAAGCTTTCAATTTCTGTGTCTTCACTGTCCCATTTCAAAGCAATCTCGGAAATTCTGTCTTCTTTAAAATTTATTTATTTATTTATTGTCTTTTTGAGACAGGATCTCGCTATGCACTTCAGGCTGGCTTTGATTTCACTTTGTAGCCCAGACTGGCCTTGAACTTGCAGCGATCCTCCTGCCTCAGCCTCCCAAGTGCTGGGATTACAGGCGTGCACCACCCCGCCCGGCTTTTTAATTTATTTTTTGAGGTAGGGTCTCCGTGAAGTTCAGGGTGGCCTTGAACTCACTATGTAGACAAGGCTGGCCTTGAACTCACCGTGATCCTTCTGCGTCAGCCTCCCTAGTGCTGGGATTACAGGCGTGAACCGCCATGCATGGCATTTTTTTGTTTTGTTTTGTTTTTATTTTTTCGTGGATTCTAGGAGTGTTCGCTAGTGTACTGATGCTTCCATCTTATTTCCAGTCCACTTCTGAAATCCTGAAAAACCAGTTTTGAGTCTGGGTGGTGAAAGGAGTGTGGTACACTAAAACACTAGCAGGAGCTGGGCGTGGTGGTGCACGCCTGTAATCCCAGCACTCGGGAGGTGAGGCATGAAGATCGTTGCGAGTTCAAGACCAGCCTGGGCTACAAACTGAGCTCAAGGCCAGCCTGAACTGCATAGCGCGACCCTGTCTCAAAAAGACAAAAAAAA